TCCCCTAAGAGAAAAAGTGAGTGCTTTTGTTAGGGAGAATACCAAAGCCTGCCTGAAACCAAGAGAAAATTCCAGGTTACCTTTTTGGATGATTCCAGGTATCCCACACTGCGAAGCTCTATTGAACTGTGTCCCTCTCTCAGAATCACAGAATGGTTGAGGTTGGAAGGGACCTTTAGAGACCATCTAGTCCAACCCCTCTGCTCCAGCAGGGACACCCAGAGCACGGGGCACAGGGCGCCATCCAGGTGGGTTTGGAAGATCTCCAGAGAAGGAGACTCCACGGCCTCCCTGGACAGCCTGTGCCAGGGCTGTCACCCCCACAGCACAGCAGCTCTTCCTCACGTGTGCACGATCCTCTTGTAGGCCGTCAGTCTGTTGCTCTGCAGGCGAGTCATGGTCCTGAGTCATGGTCCTCAGGCCCCACTGACTGCCCTGCCTGTGCTGAAGTGCAGGGTGTTGGGAAGATGTTTCCTGCATCTGCCCTGTTCGGGAGGCTGGATGGGAGCTGCAGCTGTCAATTCACAGGACCACACTAACTGTTCTATTGAAAATCACCTTCTTTGGGAGGCTGAAGTCTGAATGGCAGCCTGCATCTGAAGAGCAGGAAATGCTGTGTGTGTCTTTAGCAATCTCTTCTAACACAGATTCATTTGCTCTTGCAAATTAATTGGGAGTAACTGCTGGCAACAGATTGAATTACTCTATATGAGAGTTGAGTCGATAACTTCTTAATTCCCTTGCCTTTGTTTTCCTTTAAAGCAACTGTCTTTTTAACAGTAAGGAATGCATTTGAATTCTTGTGTATTTGTAAAAATAATCCTAATTAGTACTAGAGCAATCTGCCACAGCACAGGTTGTGCCATCTCTCTCTCCTTGTTCCATACTGTGTGCTAGTCATTCACATACTATGGTCTGTAGAATGTTATCTGAGGAGCCGTCTTAAAACAGCAGCACAAAACACTTCAAAAAACCCAAATCCTAGGAAAAAAAAAAATCCTAGGCTACAACTGCCTTGGCTGTGAAACCTTGAAAGCTGGTAGCTAATGTTAGCGAAATACCCCATCCTTGTTTCTGGCTTGTAAAGCTGCTCAGTGTCCCACAGCGTTTGGTAGTTCATTTTTATAAATGGCCAAAGGAATTCCAAACTGGGAGGTTATTTCCCCAAATGAAAGTGCTTCCACATTGCACTTTTTGGTAACAGTGTTGGAGAGGGCAGCTGGGAGGAGAAAACAAATGCGTGGAGGAGAAGTCAGCAGGGGCTTGCCTGCCTCCTGGAGCCTCCTCACGACGCAGAGGTGGGCGGTGAAGGCAGCAGGATGGGAAGGGACCAGCCGAGGACGAAGTTCCCGCAGTTCCCATGTCCTTGATCCCTGCAGGCGACTGAGGTCTCAGTGGGCGCTCGCGTGGCTGCCTCGCATCGCTCCTCTGTGCGCCCGGCGCCTTTCCTGGCGCAGGAGAGACCTCGGCCGGGGAAGCGGCTCCTGGACGCCGCGGCACTGAGCCCCGTACCAAGGGGCTCTGCCCGGCCACCCCCGGGCCCTTGAGAGGGTTTCTGAGCGCCGCGTGGCAGCGGCAGCTCCGTGAGGTGCTCCTGTGGCAGCGGCAGCACTGAGCTAGGGAAGGATATAAAGCTCATAGGCTTGACTCAGTGACTGTTGACTGTGCTATAGAACTAAAATTAAGGAGGTCATTTCCTTCAGAAATTATGTTTCCCTGGTGCTGCTGAGCTCAGCTCTTAGTAGTACTACAGGAATACCCCTGTCCCCCTCCAAAAGATTGGCATAGAGCAGTGGTGCGGTATCAGGTGGAAGATTGTCCATTTTTTTCTCCTATAAGCAACTTGCACGTATGTAAGCACTTACTCTGGTGTTGAAATTAATTTTTAGAATTAAAAATGTAGGTATTTTTTCTCCACAGCTCAACTAAAATAACAAAGTTAAATGGCCCTTTGGTACCAAATGTTGTTTTTAGAGAGCTGTGCAAAATTTGTTTACCATTTGAAGTGTGATCTCAACTTCTATGCTTGATTTTCCTGAAATACGTGGCTGGAGATGTTTAGCATAAAATATTTCACACGTTTAATGGGGATGTAAATGCAACCCGTGACACTTTAATGGTTCCATGGTAATGATACAGCAGGCAGACTGCATCATGTAAGAGTCTTGTGCATCTCCGTGTTGCAAATGGGCATGAGAAGGCAGCGAGGCCATGTGTGCCAGTCCTTCTGAAATTTGAGATCTCAAAGATGTTTTTGCATCTTAAAACTGTTGTAATTAAACTTTAAGATGATTTTCCCCTCCTAGGATTTCTAGTTAACTTTTGAAATGGTTCTTTTTTTTTGGAGAGGAGATTATGTTTACTTGGAAGGAAGGCTGCCCAGCACAGTTCCTGGAGACTTTACAGAGCTGTCCAAATATGGAGGGGAAGGAGTTGCTTGTTTGTGTGTGTTGTTTTTTTGTCTTTTTAATTTCCATGTTATTGTAGCCCTGGCATACTGTTGTGTTCGGAAGCGGCCTTGGCAACCTGTGCCTTGCAAGACCGGCTTGGAACGTGCCCAGGAGTAAGTGTCACACGGAGATGTGTGACCACAGCCCTCCCTGATGCCAAAGGCTTTGGCTTCCTTAAAAAGAGGCTGCAGTCCCGAGCTGTGTGGCTTCCTTTGGGAGCAGTAAGGGCTTGGTCCCCCCAAAAAGCTGCATCTTCCTATCTGACATTTTGCATGCAGTTTTTCCCAGCGGTTTGGTGATGTTATGCTACTGCTGTGTTTTCCCTTGAATTCTTTTTTAGATGTGGTTTAAGATATGCTTGAAATTTCTTCAGCTTAAATTAATTGAACATAAAAATAACACCTAGCGTATCTCTCTCTTAACTTTCCTGGTAGTTGTCTCAAACAGTCTTATAAATTCACCATCTCATCCTGTTTTATGCCAGTGTTCATATTCACGTATGTGCCCTGCACAGGACTGAAATCTCAAACAAAACACATTCTTTATATGAAACGCTGTCTAGCTGAAGCGATTACTGATGAAAAGAAATCCAGCTAAAATACTGTTGGCAGTTTTATATGATGGTGGTTTTTTGTAGTAGTAGTAGCAGCAGTGGTGTAGTCAAATGTGTTGGTTAATGCTCTAGTTGGCTTATGAATCTTTTAGTAGTGTTATAGCTGTAAAGAGGAGCTATTGGAGGGTTTCCTGTATGTGAAATTGAGTATGTTTGTTGTAGAGACAGAGACATCTTAAATCTTTTTGGTGTTGATCTGATGGTCTCCATGTAGAATGTGTCTCGTACTTGGAAAAAAAAAAAGGAAGCTTGGAAATAGGTGGGGGGAGTGACTGTAAGTTTCTTCATTTTCTCTGTTGTTTTTCCTTAGTGCTATCTCTCCAATTATTTCCCCCACTCCTTATCTTTTATTTCCATGCTTGGAGTGGGGTGTATGCCTAAATGGCTGTGTACAAGTGAGCTTTCCCTCTTCTTGGCTTGAGCACAAGCGGGTTTTTACATTACTGTTTTCTGTACTGCAGCTCACTGATCTTATCTCTTAATATGATAATCTGGTATTGTTTTCTATTTCAAGGTAACTGTGCCCTTGTGATATTGAAGCATGTAATCATTTGTGTAAATAAATGCCTTTTTTAAGGATGGCAGTTTATTCTGTCAACTTGAAAATACCTTCCAGTGCACTCTGAGGGTTGTGTTCTGGTTGTTTTCCTCACATTAAACATTTCTACTGCTTTCTCGCATCAATACTATCTCCATTGGGGGAGTGTGTGTGTGTATATGTGATGTTGTTTATATAAATAGTTTTAAAGCACATGCATGTCTATCTTATGCAGATAGGTATTCAAGCTGTTTAGAACGTGAAGTTAAATACGGTTTTATTTTCCAAACTGCTCTGCTACATAAAGAGTCTGTACTTGCTGGGGTCGTTCCTTTGGACGTTAAGGTGGTGGTTGTAAGTTTGGTGGAACAGTAACACTAGGCTGGAAGCACCTGTGATTTGAATGTGTGATAGATGAGTGCAGCCTGAGGTAGTGAAAAAGCTTTTGTCTCTGTGAAATTGTTTTCTCCCTTTAAACAAGGGAATGAAAATGCATATTCAAATTGCCAAACAGCCACCAAAAGGCATGGGAGTAAATTACCTGACGTGGATGTATTTGAATAATCTGTGAACTGCTCAGTAGGACAAGGAAACTCTGCTGTTCTCATGATCTGGACGTGCTGCAGCTGTAGGGCGTCTGCTGCGCTCACTGAGGAGCCAAGTGCTGCCACGAGCTAAGGATTGGCCTGTACCATATTTCCAATTTTGGAAAAATAGAGTTGAAAGAAGATCACAAATCAATGCGCCCAGCTTGTGTATTAGAAATCAGCAACTTTCATATTAGATAAGTTGATTTTCAGTGGCATGCAGCTTTATTTTTTTCTAAAACCTAGCCACATCTGCTTTGCTGGGACATCAGCAGCTCATACTGTTTGGTTTCTTAAGAAAGTTAAGCTGTTGCTCTAGTGTATAAGCTGGTTAATTTGAGATGTCTAAAAACTTAAAAATTCATAGGCTTTGACAGCTGCTTTTAAGGTTATTCAGAAAAAAATTTTTTTTTTTTTTAAGTGAGTAGATCAAATACAGTGAAAGACTGGCGCTGGCAATAGATTTTGTGGTTCTCTTTTTGGTAGTGCTCTTGTAATGGCAAGACTGGTAGAAAATGTTTATGCTGTTAGGGGTTTAGTTCAGTAGTCGTCTTGAAGAGAGTGAGGTTGAATGATCAAGACAGAAGAAAAACAGAAGGTTTCTAACAGATAAAAATTCTTGTTTAACCCACTCTGTGTAGCGCAGTGTTAACGCTGCATAACCCAGCTCCTGGAGATCAGCGTTGGCTCCTGCCTGCATGACTGCAAAGGCAGCTGGAATACCTAGTTGGGATAGATGCTGTTGGCAAAGTACCTGCCCATGACTTTGAGAACTAAGCAAATCTTTTTATTTTTCCATTTTTTTTTTGTAGGAACTTGTTTACCAGAAAGCCAAATGCAAGACTCGAAAAACCAAACGATGTGGGATGGAAGTTGTTCGGAAAAGTGCCCGTCAGAGAGAACTCCCAGAAAGATCCCAAGAATGTGCAAAAGGTAGATGCCAAAGTCTGCTTTAAGATTAATGGTGAATGCAGAAGGGTTAATGCTGGTTAAACTTAACGTTTGTGTATTTTACTGCAAAGTCTATTTGCTTGAGGATAAGCGCACAATTTCTTAGATACAATTTTTTTTTTTTTGGCTTCTATTGCAACGTAGAGTGTAGAGTGCCATTTGAAACAATGTGTTCTATAACATCATGGAGTTCAGTATAAAGTATTTGATATGAAGATTCAAAGTATTATGAATGTTCTTGGCTTTTTATAACCAAACTTAGTATGTATTTTGAGTATTTTTCAATTTTCTCCTTTCTTTCATATTCTAGCATAACAGTAATTTATAACCCAGGTATTATAGGTCTAAGCATAACATGCCCTTTGAAAGGGAATAGTGTTCTGCTAATGAGCCGTGCTTAAATATAATTTAAATTATTTCAAATCAGGGTAGATTTAATGCAAAAAAATGCTTGAAATTTCTCTTAGGCTCATTTCACACATTCCCTGTTTGTGGAATGTTTGCTGCCTGGGCTTGAATTTTTTCTTGTTGAAAGTTTGAAAGTTTGCCTGAAAGTTTGGTTGCTGACTTGAAATGTTGAAGTGATGTGATATATTTCAAGGGGAAGGTAAGTGGAATAGTTAGGTTTTCTTTTATCTTTTCCTTTTTTTCTTGTATATTTTAAAAGGGCTTATGTTTTCAAGTTGTTTATTAAAGTCAACAGAAAAAAAAAAACCTTAAAAAGCACCAGAATCATTCCCCCCAAGTCTAGGTTTTTCTTCCTTTTCATTGCACCTTAACTAGGTGCTGACTTGTGGGTGTGTTTGAAACTTGTGTTTGCCAGTAGTGAGTTTCTTAAATCCATGGCTTTTTATATTTCAGACAGGCTTTTTATTATGGAAGGGGATTTACAGAATCTTTACTTGCTTTCCTTTAGTGGGTTGTAAGTGATTTCATTTATAAAAATAAAATGAAACCTACTTCTTCCTTTCTTGTCATTTCTAAAGCTATAGAATTAAAATGTTATTGAAAATGGGACAAAATGTTATATGCCATTGGGATGGCACACAGGGGTGACAGCCATTCCTGCCCTTCTTCAGGAAAAGGACCAGGACAAAAAGTGCTCTGGGCAACGTTTCTGCCTGGAGGTGCGTGGTGTTCCCAGGTACAGAGGAGTGGGTGCCTGGAAGGACCTCATTTCATGTACTGAAAAAAAGTATGGAGCTTTGCAATGAAGTGTAGGAGGTGGGGAGGAAGGGGGCTGTGACTGAGGTAATAGGTTAGTGACCTGTAAGTGATTCCAGTGTCTGCAGTTGCACAAAGTTCCTGTGGGGCACGAGGCAAGATGCCTAAGCTGGATGTTTTTTGAGTTTTGTTTTTATGGGATACTATGGATTGTTGGTGCTTCTGCGTGCTTTGCTTGTAACTGGGCTTCATTTTCTGGGATGTCGGGGCTCCTTTTGCAGCAGAGTGTGATGAGAGCTACACATGGTCAGTGAAGAATCCTCTGTAATGCTCTGTGCCCTGAGAATTGGATCCTTCGTGGATGCAAAGTTGGTGGCTGTTTTGGAGCCTGAGGCTGAGTGCCTTGGTCATGCACTTGAGCATTTAATGTTTCCTGGGCCGACAGGGCAGTCATGGCAAGCACGTATGGAGCACTGAGTATACAGAGTGAAGCCCATGTGGAAAATGCCACATAGCCAGAAGGGACCGACTCAAAAATGAAGTATTCATTTAGCATAGCATTGCATACAACCCCCTGTGTGCATAAAGACAAGCAAACAGGAGGGGAAAAGTGTGAGCTCTTATCTGACATCTTGGGGAATGGGGTTGGATCCTGTGTCTGTTGGTCTCTTGAACTAACAAAGTGACTTGGAGCAGCAGTTACCTGTCAGCGTGTCACGGCGTTTCTGGTTGTGTTACAGGTCTGGGCCTATGCAGGGCTTTTGGTGAGAACCAGACCCTGACAGTGTGGGTGCTGGGCACGGGTATTGTGGATAAAGCTTCCCACTTGGAGAACTTTCTGTTCCTTCTGACTTGTGTATGTGCAGGACTATCTGATCTATGTGACCTGTGATGTGCAGGACTTAAATATTTTTTTTTCTTCAACAAAGCCTAATAATTCATCCTGTGGAGTCCAAGGCTTTCTGCAATCTGTCACCTCATGATGATTCTGCTCTTGATACTGTGCGGTGCTCGCCAGCACATAGGTAGTAGGACTGCATCTACCTGATGCACGAGGGCTTTTTAGCAGTGTTTCTGTTAGCAGAAGCTTGAGCCAAGCTCATTCTGAAAGGCAGCTTGGAGGAAAGGTGATGTGAACTTCTTCGTTGTGATCTTTGATTATGTTTTCTCCTGTCACGTGGGCAGACTTTAGGAAACGCTCTGGGCTCTCAGAGGTGCAGCCGAGCAGTCTGTCTGTCCTCAAGCTCAGCATCCCCAGGGACATCAGCCCCACTGGACTTGAGGGGCCTGAAACCCGCTGTGTGCAGAACTGAGGGGACTGAGTCACGAGGCAGCCCATTCTCAGGTCGGCTTCTCTTGCTGCTGGGCTGACAGCAACGAAATTTGGGCTCAGCTAATTGGAGCCCTGTGACCATCCCATAAATATGGCCATAAATTCCTGTAACAAGTTCATCAGCATGTCTGTGCCTGCATCTTTTGCTATCTTTCTTATATGGCTTTTTTTTATTATTGTTATTTTTAGTTGGATTAAATTGAACTGCAAATTTGTGGAAGTTTTGTATATTTGTATATATATTTGTACATAGTTCTGATACGATCCCCATAATAATCTCATGTGAGACTAAAGAAACTTGCAAGAAACAATGGGATTTTGAGAAGTATTTTCAGGCTGAGAAGAAAAAGAGCTATCTGCACTGTGAAGTGATTAAATTGTTTTTAGAATTAGCGGTTCTTATTTCCTTCCTACCTTGTCCTACCTTTCTACTATAAAAATAAACATTTAATCCTTCAAAATTTAGTCAGCAATCCCAAACTGAACACTTTTATATTGTGCATAAAGATGGTTGGGCCTAAACTACTAAGCTGGGCGCAATTTGTAAGAACACCCAGCTTTTAAGGTGATGATTTTTTTTTTTTTTTTCCCCTCTGACCTCATCTGGGAGGAAGAAAAGTTAGATGGGTTTTAAGCACGCAAAGCTCAAGTTCTATAAAAAAAACTATTTTAACATCACTGCCTTGTTCAACTTGTATGTGCAAGACATGGCAATGTTCTATATATTTAGTGAGGTGGAGATTAAACGCTGCAGCTGGGCTGGTGCTCAGCTCCTTGCTGAATAGCCCATGTCCTTCCACGGAGTCGTACTAGCAAAACACACCCACAGTGCCTGCGTAGGGAATGGGTGTTCGTGTGAGCTAGGAGGCTGCACAACTTTTATCCAGCCAAGTGTTTTAAAGCCTGAAACTCCCCAGAACAGGTAATCCTGTCTGCAACGTTGCCAGTGCCTTTAAAAGGCAAACCTAGGCAATTCTTTTGTGTCAGTCACCTTCAGGAATCCTGCTTGAGCAGAACTGGTTGTACCAGTTGCTTTTGCAATTGGTGTGTCGGAATGCACTGAACGTCGCTGGCAGGACCTCGCTCCCAATAACCATAACAGCAAAACCCTCTGAACAGATTCTGAAACCTGGATTGGACCTTGTGGCCAGGATGTGTTTCAAGAACCCCTCGGTATTGGTGAGAACACTCAGTTTAAGAACCATATGTTCACAGGTTCTGGCCGGTGAAGAAATGTCAAAAAAAAAGACCTTTAAAATTTGAAGATGAGCTAACATTGTTTATCATTTAGTTGTCTCTCAAAGTCACTCCTCATGGAATCTTCTTTTTAACTATCCATTGTGATCACAGCTGTTAGGCTTACACGTATACAGAAGAGCATGACTTTAGCTGTATCCTCACTTGTATTATAGCTCTCTTGCCAAATGACACCAGCTTCTTTTGAATTGCTTTTTTCTTTAGTGTACACCTTATTTTTTTTCTTCAATGTGGATATCTGTTTTTGAATCAGTGGATAACTCTTCTCCTTTTCTGGAATACTATTATCCTATGCCAACTCTTCAATTTAATTTTACCTGTATAAATGTCACTAAGAGCCCTTATGTAGTTTCTTCATTTTCTTCGAGTATCAACACCAGTAGAATTAAGCACATACGTGTCATTTCAGGCCTTTCAGGGAACACTGAGAACTTCAAGTCGAAATAGCTATTTAGTATATGCCTAGTAATCAGTTATTAGGCATTATTAATATGCCTAGTAATAGGCATTCTACTTGAAAGTATTTCCCTGTGTGTGCAAGGCGATTGGACTAGAATGACCTCTAGAGGTCCCTTCCAACCTTAAGGATTCTGTGAATCTATGATTCAGAGTGTTTAATAGGAATTCCTTAATAATGCGAAGTAGATATGACTTTTAGCCTGGGGATTACAGTCTTTCCAAACCTAGAAGGGTTTTTATTCTGAAAGCCATAGCATTTGTGTAGGCTGGATGCTTTGGAAAAAAAACTACAGCACCTCATGTGCAAGTGTGAGGAAAATAAATCACCGTGATTTATCAGGTATGTTTTTCTCTGCTAATTAGATCATCATCTTAAGTGGAATCAACATTCCTGTCAATTAAAATCAGTTGTGCATCAGAGGCTCCTTCTATATGCAACATGTGATGATGTGAAAAGAAGCTCATGAGGCACCAGAACGTGGTGCTAGGCTGGTAGGGGATGCCTTTGGGGACGGGATAGTTAAATTTAGAACAGTACTTGAGGGGAAAAGATGTTCTAAGTTGATTTAGCTCAGTTATTATTCAAGTCAGTCTTGATCTAATTCCTGCAAGTCCTCTGCTCATGCTGTTGGTCTTCTATAGGGAGATAGGTCACTGGCTAAATCGCTGTGTCTGCTGGCTTTAGCTGGTAATTTTTTTTGTTTGTTTGTTTTTCTTTTGCATTTCAAAGTGTCCTAGGCCTTAAACATTGTCTAGGGGACACTTTTTT